TAGCTTTGGTGTGGCTTTCTTGGTGGTCAATTAGAAAAATGTCCAGGAGTGGAATTGTTGGGTCACAGGGGAGCTCTATGTTTAGGATGAACAAGTTTACATTCCTTCCAACAGTGTAGTAATATTCCCTTTGGACCATATCCTGTCAGCATTTGTTGCTGTCAGTTTCTTGATAATGGCCATTATAAGCATTTCTTTTGTGGCCAGAGATGTTGACCAGTTCTTCAAGTGTCTATTGGGCATTCTCACTTCTTCTTTGAAGAAGTCCCTTTTTATGTCTTTAGCTCATTTATTAATTGGGTTGTGATTTCTTTGAGGATTTATTCTGGGGGGGGGTTAATTTTTTTGAGCTTGAAGTATATTTTAGATATGAGGCCCTTGTCTGGTGCATAGCTGGTGAAGCTCTTCTCCCGTTTGGTGTGATGCCCAACATACTTTCTAGACCTTTCAGAAGAAGTCATTCTTGGCTTTCGTGATGGAAGTAAGAAGGGAGAAAAAAATAAAAGCAAAAAGAGATAGGTTTTCCTGCAAGAACAGCTCAGATGGAGGAGCAGTAAAGTGGGAAAATGGCAGAAGGGGTGCTTTGTTCCAGGGAGCTTTTCTCCATTTGTTATCCATCATCCTCTAACCTGCAGCCCCCCCCAGAACTGAAGCGCTGAAAAGCTCCATGTTTTGTGCTTGATTATGTGTCACAATTTGGGTTGGGCTCACTGGGCGGTCCCTCTGCTCATCACACCTGGAGTAGCATAGATGGCTGTTGTCTTCTCACTGGCTTGAGCTGTGTATTCGCAGATGCGCTTGTTACCCGTCTGGCTGCAGTTTCTCTGGTGGTGGGGGCCTCCTTCCAATAGTGGGCTTTCCCACATTCTTCTCATACAGACGCCAGTCTGGCCTTCTTTATGGGATGCTCATGAGTTTCAAAAGGGTAAGAGCAGAACTTCCAGGTGTTTTTTTCCCCCCCAAAGTGTGGACATCCTATAGTGTCACACGTCCAACACAGTCTAAAGGAATGTGGACAGATCCCAACTCCTGATGGGAGAAACACACAAGTTACAGTGCAAAGTGGCCCGGCTCTCTGAAGTGAGAGAGTTTATGGTCATTTTGCAAATGATTTGCCACCTAAGGCTAATGTGGGAACAAGGCAGTCTGGAGCTCAGTCAGGGGTCAGTGCATGCATTGTAACCAGTCCTGCATCATGTACATTTTATTTTTATGCCAGTCCTGGGGCTTGAACTCAGGGCCTAGGCTCTTTCGCTTAGCTTCTTGGTTCAAGGCTGACACTTATCACCAGAATCACAGCTCCACTCCTAGCTTTTCTGCTGATTCATTGGAGATAAAGGTCTCATGGACTTTCCTGCCCAGGCTGGCTTTGAAAACCACAATTTCTCAGAACTCAGCCTATAAGTAGCTAGGATTACAGGCATGAACCACAAGCATTCAGCTCTACTATTTACTTTGAAATCAAGGTTGCAAAGGTGAACAGTGAAGGTTTCCTTATTTATTTTTGCCAGTCCTGCAGCTTGTACTCAGAGCCTGTGTGTTGTCCCTGAGCCTCTTTGTGTTATGGCTCTACCACTTGAGACATTGGCTACTTCTAGCTTTTTCTGAGCACTTTATTAGAGAAGAGTCTCACAAACTTTTCTGTCCAGGCTGGCTTTGAACCATGTTCCTCAGAGCTCAGCCTCCTGAGTAGCTAAGATTGTAATGTGAGCCACCAGCACCCAGCTGAAGGTTTCCTTTTAAAGGAAAGAAAAGATCATCCTACTCTCCCAATAAACACCTGACACTTCATGAGGGCAAAAGCCACTATGCGTGTCACCCCAGGGAGGTTTAAATAGCTTATATTTTCTGATTATTTTCATTTTGTTAATTTGTAAGTATTTGAGTGATTTTTGAAATAAAGTTAATGATACCACCAGAAGGGATTTCTAGTGTTCACTTTGATAAATTCAATAAAAATAATATAGTTTTCCCCTTGTCTTCTTATCTTTGTAAATTAGAATCATAAGTGAAAAGTATATTATTTATTATAGTAATATAGCCTGTTACTTTTATTTGGGAAACTAAGACAAACCATGAAAACCTGAAAATATCTGCAATGGAAACGACTTAATCCCAGGAAGTACTGACTACTTTGTGAGGCTTTGGTTATTTCAATAATGAAAAAGGAGGAGAAACCTAATGGGATACAAACGAATGTTTTCTGATATGTCTCAGCACAAAGCAGGTTGCCTAATGAATGAATTCACTTCTCTATAATAATTAGATATCATTACCGTTTTATTTACAGATGAATTATCAGAGATGCAGAATACCAAGACTCAGTCTAAGTCTTTCCATTATTTTATTGCCCTTCCAATATCTACTGAGATGTATGCATCGTTTATACAGGTATTAAAATGGTTCATATTTTGGCCTAGTAAACCTCTATAATTATAGGCATTTTCAGCTACAACTTCATCATCACCCCCTCTAATATTTTCTTATGTTATAATGTTTTCATTTAATATTTTAATATTTATTATTTCTGTGTTATGTTGGATCAAATTAGGTTACCCCAATTTGAACAGGTAGGTTATGGTAGGACTCAAAGGCATACAATGTAGCTTAACAAAACTTTTAGGGAGGTCCTAATTATTTCTCTAGGCTAATACTGTGTTTATAACTCATCTGAGCCTTGCTGTTCCTTCCCCTCCTCCCTCCCTTTGTCATTTTCCTTGATGTGGCATTTATTTGCAAGATGAGACTTGCTTAGTTATATATACGAGTAAGCACATGAAATCAGGCAGGTTCTCATGGCACCGGAAACCCTTCCTGCCTGTTCCAAGAGTGGTTCCCTGTTCAGAATAAACCTGTTTCCTCCCTTCCAGGGACATTTTCAGCATCTCCAGAGAGAACTTCTCAGTGTCGCAGAGCAGAGCTGGGAGAAGTCCAGCTGCAGGTCTCACCTCTAGCCGGTAGATGGCTCTGCTTCACCCACCCTCTTCCTCAGGGTCTTAAGTCTGGGAGCAAAACCTGTGGGTGGGTTTGGGGACCGCCTCCACCTGTGCCCGGGCCCCATCGCCCACCTGGTTTCCCACTTTGCTGGCATACAGGTGCCGCGTGAATTTAAACACCGTCTCTACTTGGCAAATCCGTTTGCACAATGGAAAGCAATCTCCCCAGAGCCCCAGCTCCCCATTCTCTTTAAATAGCACCGCGCTCTGAACTAAAAGCTGTATTCCTGAGTCATAACAATTAATTACCTCGGAGGTGAGCAGGCAGGATTAAATGCTCCATTGCGGTGTGGAGTTTCGGCCGGTGTCTGGTCCCGCGCTGTTCTTTAAAACCAAATCACACTCTCTGCAGCCCAGGGTGGTTCAAAGACGACCCTGCAGCTCCCCTTCCTCCGACAGTTGCCGGAGATGCACACAGATTTTTGTTTTCTTTTTGGTAGGGAAGTGCATGTCTTTCTAGTTGAGGGTGTGTGTGTGTGTGTGTGTGTGTGTGTGTGTGTGTGTGTGTAAGACCCTTTATTGTGATCAGGAATGTCCTACTTGTAGGGAACGGTGTAGGAAGCCTTCATCCACCACAGATAGCACATCAGCCAGGCCTCTGACACACAGCTGCCCGTCGGGTTCAGGCTGTGCCTCCCGGGGACCAGAGCAAGGGGCAGGGGCTACAGCAGGACCTGCTAGGACCCCATGAGCGCAGGGAGGCCCAGGCAGGCAGATGGCCCAGGAGGCTGAGCCCAGCCGTCCCGCCTCCGCTCTGGGGGGGGGGGGGGGACGCGCAGCGGCGGTGACTCCCTTCTGTGTGGCTTGGAAGGCCTTGGCCTGGACAGGTGACCCCCAACTTCAGGACGCATGGATCTCATCCACAGGGCGAGCCGTCTAGGGGACCGGGCAGCAGCAGCAGGGCTAGTCCGGGAAAGCCAGCTGTTTTTTTTTGGGAGGGGGTTCCACACTAGCTCGGGGTGCTCTTTGGGCCTGGTCAATGCCAGCCTGGCTCCTCTTCGGTTTCTCAGAGCCCTTCTCAGCACCGGGCAGATCCGAGGATGGAGGCCCGCGGGGGGGATCGGGGCTAGAGGAAGGCTGGGGGGGGCACCCCGCAGGGTGCACGCCCATCACCCCCGGGCCCGACCGTCCTCACCGCCCCGCGCCTCCCCACCTCAAAAGACAGCGAGTAGGAAACGCTCAGCCTCCCCGGGGCGCCACTGTACCCCAGGAGCCCAGCCCAGGGCAGGGGCGAAACAGCTGCTCAGTTAACCGAAGCTGGGAGATGAATGAATGAATGAATGAATGAACGCACTTGCTGGGAATGGAGTAGCATCAGCTCTCTAGGGATCCCTGCTGAGTGGAAATCTGGGTCCCCAAGACTGCGCTTATTATTATTGTTATTGTTGTTGTTGTTATTCTTCAGGAATGCCCCCCACTCCACCCCAAAGGGTCTCCTGACACGCCAGCCAGTCCTGATCTCTCCTCTTCCAGACCCCTGTGGCCAGTGCATTCCGGCCCCGCGTGCAGGTCCCCGCGCCCCCCCCCAACCCCCTCCCGCGCACCCCACGCCCCCTTCCGCGCCTCGTTCCCGCGCACCCCCTCCCCGCGCCCCCTCCCACCCCCCTCCCGTCCCCCCTCCTCGCACCCCCTGCACCCCCGCCCCCCCCCCCCGCGCGCCCCCGGCGCCGGCTCCCCGCGCGGGCGTGCGCCCCGGGCATGCTCAGAGCGCGCAGGTCCGGGCGGCGGGGGGCGGAGGGAGCGGCCGCCGCCGCCGCCGTGCGCTCGCGGGCCGGGCGGAGCCGCGCAATCCGCTCGCAGCGCCGGCGCTGGGACGGCGGACGCGACCCGCCCGCGCCCACAAGTTGTCGGCCGCCGAGCGCCGCGCCGCCGCCTCCGGCTCCCCGCCCGCCGCGCGCCCACCCGCGCCGGGCCGCCGGCGCCAGCACGCGCGTCCCGCCGGCCACGGGCCGACCCCCGGCGTGAGAGCGAGGGCGCAGCCGCCCTCCGCTGCCGGCCGCCTCTGCTCCGCGGAACCCCCACCCCACCCCGAGGCTGGAAGATGTGGCAGCCGGCCACCGAGCGCTTGCAGGTAAGGGGTGCGCGGGGGAGGCCGGGGGGCCCGCCTGGAGGAGGAGGTGCCCGGCTACCCCCGGGTCGGGCGGAGGAGCTGTGGGTCCAGACACGATCGTGGAAGATCGCAGCGGCGGCGGCGACGGGCTGCGGTGCGGCGGGCTTTAGCCCCGGTCCCCGGGTCGGCGCACGGGAGGATGGAGTCGACCAGACGCAGCGCCTTTGGGCTTGGAGGTGCTGTGTGCCTGTCGGGGGTCACTGAGGGACCTCTGAGCACAGACACACAAGCTGGCCGCTCTGGGGTTGGGAGTTTTGAATCTGCCTCCCATCCCCACGTTTTTCTTTTTTTCTTTTCCCTTTTTGGTCTCTAGGAAAGACAGAAAGAAAGGATCTGTGTCAGAAAGCACCCATGTTGCCAAGATGACTTGGAACTCTGGAGCTTGGTTTGGCTTGGGCGTAGCATGCTACTTATTTTCCCTTCCCCGTCCTTCTTCCTTGGCGCTCTCCCTTCATCGCCCCTGCATCCCATCTCCCCCAGAGATTCCTGAGTTCAGTGCCGCCCAGGACGACTTAGGTCCTGGGTCAGCCCGTGAAAAGTTTGTTCATTCAGGTGAGGGAGCTGGGAAAGGGGGGTGGGGAGACAGAAAGGGAGGTCTCTCCCCCCCCCCCCCCCCCCCCCCCCGCCAGGTTTGTTTAGCGACCAGTTGGGTCCAGGGAGGTTCAGTGTCTTTGCCTTTGCTCACAGCCAGAGAGAGCCAGAGCTGCTTCTCCACCAACACGGTTGCAGCTCAACTTTTGCCGGGCCTAGAGAGTCAAAACTTTGAAGATGTGTTTAAGTGGAGGAAAGAAAGAAAGAACGAAAGAAAGAAAGAAAGGAAAGAAAGAAAAGAAAGGAAGGAAGGAAGGAATTGGAACCCACAGAGGCCGAGTCCCCCTCCCCACCCCATCCGAAAGGACTTAGGACAGCAGGGGGGGCAGGGACCCTGGCTGGCTCAGGAAGTTTCTCAATGAACAGTCTAAGCCTGAGTCAATCATCCAAGCCCAGTGGTGAAGCCAACCTTGCCTCCCAGCACTCATCCTGAGGATCAGCCAGTAGGGGGCAGTGTGTGGAGCTGCTGCTCCAGGTTTCTACACGGCCCCCTCCTGCCCCCCCCCCCCCCCCAGCTCCTTCCCACATCTTCCTGGGAAGAATGCATTGGGTATTACAGAACCCCTGACATAGCAGGCCGGTGATTTGGGGGTCTCAAACAGAAAGGGGGGGGGGAAGAAGGAAAGCCCACAATTAGCTTTGGGAATGGATAGAGGTAGGTGAGCAGCCCTCTTCGGAGCCTGTTTGTGTGTTAGGAAGAGCACACCAACAGCAAGTCCACCGTGATGGGCACGAGGCGGTTTGGCAGTGGCCCTCAGATAGGATTGGTGGTGCCTTGGGAGTCCTCTTTCAGTTCAAGGCCTGGATTTGATCCCAGGGAGAGGTGGGGGGGGGGGTCCCCTCCCAAGCACAGAGGGTAGCTCTGGGACGGCCTTCCTTCTAGAGATGGAGTCCCGTGCCTTGAGGTGGGTAGGTGGCCCGGTGACCAGGAGCTCGCGGGGCCTGTGGATGGATTCCAGGCTGGGGCAGCTCTGCCTGCAGCCTGTTTCACTTAGCAAAGCCTGTGCCTCTCCGCGCGTGACTCTTGGCAGGCGGCCGCCTGGCTCAGTCTCCTCTGGAGATCATTTCTTGACTCAGAACGACTCCTGGCCCCCTCTGGCAAACATGCACATGTGCATTTTGGTGTGAGCCTGGCTGATGATTTATGTGTGCCGTGACTTTGTTCCATTTCTAGGTGCCATGTTGAAAGAGCCTGGGTCTCAGGCTTGCGAAAGTTCTGGCGAACTGAACTTATCACTGAGCGAGGTCGGGTCACAGTTACACGGTCCTAACCCAAACCCAGAGAGCAAGGTCGGGGAGTCCACCTCTAGCACCCCAATTTAAATCCAAGCCAACCAGTTTCTTTTTCAAAAATCCATCTCAAACCTTGAAAGGATAAAAGGTGAACCAAAATGGGGGGTGGGAGGAGGGGGGTGGCTTTTCCTAATCACGACTCCTTCTCAGTAGTTTCTGGATTCTTCTAGAAAGCATCCCACTTGTGTTTTCCTTTGTGCCGCTAGGGGGGGGAACTGTGGAGCTTGAGGTGGTAAGAGTGAGCTGTTGTAATAATATTTCATCTACATTCCTTGTGGGGGTTTTGTTTTGTTTTTGTGTCATGATCTCTGTTTGCTGTCTGGGATGCTTTTTTCTTCTCCCTTTGGCTCTCAAGGTGCCATCATAAAGAAATGTTCTCTTCCATTTCTGAGGAGGAGAATGTTTTTCTCCATCCAGGTGTGTACAGATGTGCAGCAGCCAGTGGGGGGGGGGGGGTGGGAATTGGGTGGCCAGAGGAAGGCAAAGCTCTTCAATCCAGGGACCTCTAAGCCCCTCCTTGCACAGATATTTTTCTGATCTCACCCCAATGTACTCATTTTGTTTTCCTCATCCATTTTCAGTACCCACATTCTAATGAGATGCACGAGGAAGAAGGGAATGCTACAAGGCAGCTTTCCCAGAGTTTTCTGGTAGGCCCAAGGGACTGTTGTACAAGTACCTAGAAGCAAACTAGGGAAGGGACGCAGACTAGCAGCATCCTTACTTAACTGAGTTATTAGTTCCTATTCGGCGATGCCCGTGCGAGCCTTGTGAGGCTGGATGGAGGGTGCCTGACTTCACTGAGAACTGGGCAACATTCCCCTCCGATCATTGTGAACGGATCGATGATCCTTCCTGGACGCAGGAGTTCTTTGATCAAATTGGGTTATCATTATCATCACACACTTATTTTACTCCCCCCCCCCAAAAAAAAACCCCAAGCAAACAAGTGTTAGTGTTTTCTGATTGAATGTTTAGTTCTTTGACCCAAATCCAGTGTAGGAGAAGAGACCTGTTGGCCCACGCGAGGGCTGAGCCGGGTCATTTCTCATTCAGTCACACAAACTGTGGCTACTTCATCTGCTCTCTTGAATGCTAAAACTTCTGCTGCATCTTGTCCCAGTGGAGCTCTTGCTTGGGCGCGTCTGCTGTTAAAAATAGAACAGACTCCGAAGTGATGTGAAGACTTCAATCACCACCCCAACTTTTTACAGTGTAAATATGAGTGCTTCCCTCTTACCTTCTCTGTACGGCTAGCTCTGTGTGTGTGTGTGTGTGTGTGTGTGTGTGTGTGTATGTGTTTCAAGGACTCAAGAGAGCTCTCAATTTTTAAAGAAGCAGATCTGAAACAGACTCTTTTCAGACAAGCAAGGGGGACTTTTTCAGTTGAAAGAGATACTGGCTTTTTAAAATAGCCATGTGATTCCATCTGCCCTTGATATTTAAAAATGTTCCTGAATTTCCTCATTGACTTACTATTATTGGTTTTTATTTACCAGTACTAGGATTTGAATTCAAGACCTCACTCTTGCTCAGTCGCTGCTAAGCTGGCATTCTACCTCCAGCCTAGCTTTTTGCTGATTATTTTGGAGATGAAATTTTGTGGACTTTTCAGGCTGGCCTCAAACTGTGATCCTGTGGATCTCAGCCTCTTGAGTAGCTAGGATTACAGGGGTTTAGTCACAGAGGCCCAACCTTGGCTTAATTATAGTGTTGAGTGGATGCGTTAGATGAGGCTATTGACTTCCCCTAAGGAACATGGGAAGTATTTTCCCCAGAGTAAAAGTCTTCAGAGAGAAACTGGATACTTTTTCTGGAGGGCAAGGAAGGCTGGAGAACAGGAGAAAGGTGAAATAAGACTGAGTTCAGAACAAGGGAGGCCAACCCATCCTTAGTGATGTATTTATTCAAAGGGCCGAGCAGAACTTGATTGCAGGAATGCATGAGAAAGAAGTTGGAGCAAATTCTAATCAGGGAGTCTATGTGTATCTTCTCCTAGGGCAATATTTCCAATTTAGTCACTTGGCTGCCTTTCCTGAGTTTATAATTTCTCAATGGTTGCTAAACAAAATACAGGACTTCTCATCCATGAAGCTGGATTTTGGTTTCTGGGCCAGAACTGGTCCTTCCCCAACCACACCTGCTTCCTTTTTCCCCTCTCTGTTTTGGTTCAGTGTCTCTTCATTGCCATTCCACTCTCTTAAAAGAGAGTGGAACCTGGATGCTGAGAAAGAAAACCCCCAATGGAAGACCTTTATCTGGCTTCTTATGAGACTTTTGGCAGCTACAAAGGTCAACGGTACCTGACTACGTGTTACTTGAGGAACGTGGGTCCTCTTTCTCCAGTACTGTCTGGTGTTTGCTCTACCTTTTCGTGCCTGACAGTGTGCAGTGTTGTAGGTTTATTTCTCTATCATTATACTAGTTTCCCTGTTCCTCTGAACTGAAGAACCCTCTCCCGCATCAGGGAAGACCATTAGACCTAGCTCATCAAGCACAGAGCAAACATAGACCAATTTGGACACTTTTCAAGGCAGACCCCATGACAACAAGAACAGAGGTTGAGGTAAGGAGATGTCATCAGCTTGCTTTTATGAAGCATTCTGTGTATGGTGGGTCTGGGATAGGGGTGGGCACCATATTGAGGAGTTTCATTTGAATCATCTAGCTCATTTAGCTTCCATAAACACCTCCCTTCCCACTCTCATTTTATAGATTAAAAAAGCTAGAGGCCAGAGAGTTGAAATGGAGAAATACAGGGAGCCAGTATCTGGCCCTTGTAGTTTGGGTTCGAGCTTCGTTTCCTGCCTTACTGCACTGTTGTGTAGAAGAATGGGACAAAGTACGAAGTGTGGAGGTTGATGCTATGCATCAACAGGATAGGAACAATGGCTGCCTTGTGGGTGTCAAGAGACAGCAGCTCGACTTCCTGTGGCCGCAACTCAGCTTCCTGTGTGGATTCAAGGCCCCGGGCCCATGTGGGATTGCCCACTTCTTTGAAAGCAATGAGTTGCGGTGTCAAATGTAATCTGCAACTCCCCAGGACCCTTGCAAACTCCTCAAATGGAACATACAGT